AAAAATACATAATTATCAAATTTTATGCTATAGATTCGAGCATCATATCAAAAGAATTGGATATCATGAAAAAATTAATATACTAGTAAAATAGATAATATATCGAAAAAAATAATATACCAAATATTCGAACGAAATATTGAAAGATCGAACAATAAATATTCGATGTGTATAAAGCGTCAAAACTTCATCAGATATACTACAGATTTGTGAAAGTTTTGATTAAAATCATTTTGGATCAATTTAAATTTGGATAAAAAAAGTTACCTAAAATTATGGGAAGAAGTTAGTGATTGATAAAAAATTATACTGAGGTATGTATGGTCTAGAAGGAAGATGATTAAAGATTTCAAAAGGTTATAATAAGCTACACAGGTAGGAAATGATAGCTAGCATGAGTATTGTTTAAAGATGAAAAGTGATATTTATAATTTCAAATTTATAAACAATTGTAAAATAAAAATACGGTTGCTGGTCAAACGAGAGACAAAAATCTCTTTTCAATGTTAAGTATAATTATTGATTTGATTTTGAGTACACATAGTTCATTAATGGTTTATTAGATCAAGTATTAGATTATATATAGATGTGATATTTTTTTTTTTAAAGCAAACGATGCACGTGTTATCTATAAGATATGTAAAATGAAAAAGAAAATACTCACGAACCAAGTTGCTTGGAGAATAATGAATTCAAGTATCCATAGAAACTTTTAAATATCAAGAATTGATTATTTTATATGTAATTCATTTATCTAAACATACTTGGATGTTATGATCTTCTCTAATTCATGTTGAGAAAAATTATTTTTTTATTTATACGAGAAAATTCGATCTTTGTATTTTATTATTTTTTATATATTGAGATATTTGAGTTTTGGACATCACTCACAAGTGTTAACACTGTATATCTTTTTTTATTCTTTAGAATTTGATCTTTTTGGTTTTTTAATATATTAACAAAGTAATCAATTTTCAATTGGTTATGAAAGGGTTAAAGTTCATTTTAGTCGTTTTGGTCATATACATCTTAAACCCTTATGGATTATTCATATCTAAAATAAATTTTATATTAAAAAATATATATATAACATATAAACTTCTTCTGTCAAGTTCGAGTTAATAGACGTAAGAGTCTGCTTATATGGTATGCTAACTCATAATAAACTATTAATACAATGACACATTTAATTTAAGTTTTTTTAAAAAAATTATTTTAGTCTTTATGATTTTGGTCATAGACTATTTAAGTCCTTATGATTTTATTTGTGTCTAAAATAACTCATATGTTTTTAAAAACATAATATATAAGTCTCTCTCATCAAGTCTAAGTTGACAAATATTATAGTATATTTATATGACATATTAACTCATAATAAATCATTAATATAATGATATGTATAATTTAAGTTTTAAAAAAAAATTATCTTCTCGATGAAGAGGAAGTGGCGGACAAAAGTGAAGAGGCGGAGATTAGAAGTGAAGGTGAGAGGGAGTTGGACCATCACGTCATAGGCACGATAGATGAGGGCGTAAGAGAGGGCAATGTGAAAGGTAATGGGGATGATGATGCCTAGGTGGAGAAAGAGGGATTAGGAGATCATGCTTAGCATAGAACTGGTTAATGCGTATCCACTAAAGGCATGACTGAAGCTCTTAAACTCGTCATCAACATGGGAGAGACCACGTGTATATGATGCTCTCCCAGGCAACAACAACTTGATGCTACTACTAGCGATCGCTTTCACGATGATATCTCCTCCCACCATTGATGTCGATCTTAATTTTTTTAGTTTAAAGTATATGTGTTATTATATTAATGATTTATTATGAATCAATATGTCACGTAAGTAGACACTAATATCTATTAACTCAAACTTGATAAAAGAAACTTATATGTTATATTTTTAAAAATATATGGATTATTTTAAATACGAATAAAACCATAAGGACCTAAGTGGTGCATGATGAAAACAATAAGAGTTAAAATAAATTTATTTTAAAATTTAAATTATATGTATAATTATATTAATAGTTTATTATGAATCGGTATGTTACAAAGACTCTAATATTTGTTATTTCAGACTTGATGATAAGAACTTATATGTTACATTTTTTAAAATATATTAATTATTTTAGACGTAAATAATTTATAAGAACTTAAGTGTTACATGATCGAAACCACAGCTAAAAAATATCTTAACCGAAACCCGATCAATTTGTATGGGACGATCGGCTGATCAATTCAATCTCCCCGATGATAGACCAAGCCAATAGATCATGTTTTCCATATAATCAACGACCATCACACAAAATAAAGAGAATAGAAAAGACAAGAACGAAAACATTTATTGCACCTGTCGACGGTAGCTCGGGCAATTAGGATTAAAGTAGCCGCGTTGTCGGAGGAGAGAGAGGAGCCGCGGTGGGCGGCTGAGGCACGAATAGCCTTAGCGGTGAGGAACGGGGAAGAGGACGAGGAGTCGTCCTCCCATACGGGGAATGAGCGGAAGTCCTCGATGGTGGCGGACCGTGGCGTACTGTGCCTCCGACGATACGCCATCTCTCTTTCCACCAAGCCAGTTAAAGGGAAACCTCATCCTCTTATATATATATATATATATATATATATATATATATATATATAACGACGATGATAACGAATCTCAACCGTCGCGGCTACCCGCTAGCTCGTGATTTAAAAATTGAGATTTCATTAGGCGTGGACACATACCAACGATCCACGAAAGAAGTAGAGATTCTGGTTGGAGCAAGACATGTATGACGTTTTCATTATGCTTTTTCTTATTAGAATATACGGATTAGATTCAAATGACACGATATATGCCGATGTTAGAATGGGTAAGTTTTAGGTTTATCTTATAATTCTGACCTCTTCTTAAGAATCCGTGAATTATGTTCCTTTTTTTTTATTTTTCCTTCTTATTGCTTATTCAATATTATTAGGGTTGATAATTCTACAAATCTCTTTAAATTTTCTTGGTTGCTTAATAAAACAAGATGAACAATGGAATAAGAACGTTATCAATGGGGTGGAAGCCCTTATGCCATTTATTTATTTATTTTGTTTTTGAAAGGGAGTTTATTCTTATGATTGTTATAATCTGATTGCTATAATTATAAGGGGCCATTTTGTGGCCTTACGTTGACGAAACAGAGAGCTTTATTTTGGATTTACAAGGAAAAGAAAAAATCACTTTTTCTTGGAGGGATATATATGTAATTTTGTCATTATTATGGTATAAAGCTGTGCGTTCTCGCGATGATAACATCCTCTTCCAAAAACAGACAGACATCTTCCGTCGCTCGCGGCCATCGATTCGGGAAGGACGAGCGAGGAGGAGGAGGATGAGCTACAACAACCATCAGACGCCGGTCGGAGTTCCTCCCTCTCAAGGTACCGTCTCCAATCTGATGCAATAGATTGATGTCTTTGTTGCATTGTTTCTCATACTGATGATGGTGGTTGTGTTTCTTCCGACTCGATCGGTGATGACGATTAGGTTATCCTCCAGAGGACCACGCCAAGGACGCCCACCCGCCGCCAGGGTACGCTCCCCAGGGATATGCGCCGCAGGGATACCCACCGCCGGGCGGATACCCACCGCCTGGCGGATACCCGCCGGCGGGCTATCCGCCTCCCGGATACCCGCCGCCGGCTTACCCGCCTCATGGATACCCGCCTCCGGGCTACGGTTATCCGCCGCAGGGCTACCCTCCAGCCTACCCTCAGCCGCCCCCCCAGCAGCAGAGTAACAGCTCTTCCTTCATGGATGGATGGTAATGGGATCATTCTCCTATTTCTCTCTCAACCTGGCCGGTTTCGGTTAGCGATGCCCACCTGGGGGCGTCGAGATCCCGATTGACGGCGTGCGGTGGCGGATCCGCCTCACGCCACCGTTGGTGCACGTTAGCGGATCCCACTTATCGTGCACCGCCAATTTAGCTTTTCTTTCTTTTCTAAAAATTATTTTCGTGGTTTTTTTAATTTTTTGGTTTACATAAATTTATTTGTTTAGTTTTCTGGGGGCGCGTATTATTTTCCTCAGCCAAATTGCCATCTCATGTGGTGATTTAAATATTTAGGAGATTAATTAAATAAATAATTATCAGAAAATTTTGGAAGGAGGCCATGTGGTCTCGACAACAAGAATAAGAGTAAAGAAATAATGAGAAGGAAACATAAAAAATCGTTACGGCTGCATTTCTTCATGTTTACGGTAACCGCATGCTAATATTACTCAATGTTTCAGTTTTACGTTAACAACATTGACTAATCTATATTTTCTTAAAATTTTAGGAACAATTCTTCAATCTTTTTAGGTTTTTATTAGAATCTTAGATATATTTCCTAAATTTCTAGACCTTTTTTAGTAGCTTAGTTACTGTACGCAAAGTTATCTTTGGCCTCTGGTTTGCCAAATAAATTCTCATGGAAATATAATTTATTTCAAATAGTTTTTGAGGAATACATCATTTAGTTGCTAGATAGATGTTATCTGTTGTATGCTGCTTAATGCAACAAATGAAAAAAAAAAAAAAGAAGATTATTTGGTTGTTCATCAGTTTTTCTCCCTGTGTTTGCAGCTTGGCGGCACTTTGTTGTTGCTGCCTTCTGGAGGCTTGCTTCTGAGATGGGATCAAAAAAGATCGATAGGGTGTGATTCAATGGCCACAATGGTGAATCCCTTAACTGGATTCCTCCTGGGAAAAAACTGTTAAATTTGACATACTGTTTTTCACTTATTTATGCCTCTCATCTTTGTTGTAAAAACACATGGAATTAAGTGTTCTTTGTGCTTTTGCTGATTACATGTAGAAATTAAATGATCATCCCTTCTCCAATAGAAACAGGAATCCCTATGGTGTTTTGTCTATTGTTACCTCTAGATTTAGTAGCCTATGTGGATATGTTTTGAACTCTTCATACATATTGCTGCTTGCATGTGAGACAGACTAGTGATGACTAACTTCTTTTATTTATGTGTGAGGTGGAAAGGAAAATCTGAATTAAGCTTGGAGGGAACAAAAAAAAAGTGAAAGTTGTTGGTGAACTTTTCATTGTTTAATCTTCTTGACGGCCTCAATGCTCATTTGCTATCATTTTGTTGTTAAAACATAGTCACTTGAATTACTTGTGTAAGAAGTATAGACGTAGGAGATATACAAGGACATCCATGGTATGCCAACTTGAATTGTGCGATTTTAGTGTCGAGCGCATGAGATGTGTTGACCTGAATTATCCATGTATTGTGTCTTGGACGTAAGAGACATATGAGGATATCAAGAGGTGCTGATTTTAAATGCTTGCATATGAAGTGTTAGATGTCAAATATGCACGAGGGTATCGAGACGATAAAACTTGAACCCATATAAGGAGTGCCGAACACAAAAGATGCATAAGAATATCAATACATATTAACTTGAAATACTCATTAAATAGTGTTGAATGCAAGAAGTGAACAAGAACATCAGAACTAGCTATATAGGGAATGTCAAACATAAGAGATGCATAAGGATATCAAGACATGCTAACTTGAATTTTTAATATAGGGAGCATCAAAGCAAGTCGACCTGAGTTGCCTACTATATAGGGAGCATCATATGTTGTAGATATATGAGAGCATCAAGTATTTTAACTTGAACTACCTAGGTAGAATATGTTAGACGCATAAAATATAAGAGGGGCATCAAGGTGTGTCAATAAGAACTACGCATGTAGGGAGCTTGAGACGTAAAAGTTATATAAAGATATTATGACATGCTAGCATGGACTAGTTGTATAGAGAGTCATGAGAGTGTCATGATTTGCTAATTTGAATTATCCACATAATAATAAGCATCATACACAAGAGAGGCATCAAAGTATTAAAGCATATCGACTTAAACTAGTTGAGTAAAAAGTATTAACTATGTTAAGCATCAAAGCATGATCCCAATTGTCCGTTTAAGAAATATCAGATATATAAGACAGAGCAAGATAATCATCGTATGTTGAATTAAATCCTCCGTACAAGGAGTATTAAACACATGAGACATAGAGTGTGTGTCTCGAGGCATGTCGATCTTAGAGGTTGAATTGTTTAAGTAGAATGTGTTAAATGAAATAATTGCATGACATCTTCTAGGCATGTTGACTTGTGTCACTAAGGTCGTGGACGTGACATCGGATGAAGCCGCCGACATGGGATAGTCGTGGGCATGACATCAGACGTAGCTGACGCCACGGGCGCGAAGCCACATGCATGAACGACGGAGCCACGAGCGCGACACCGAGAGAAGCCATGGGCCCTGACGTCGAACGAGTCCACGAGCATTCGCCGAGCGAAGCTGCGAACAGGAAGATATATATATATATATATATATATATATATATATATATATATATATATATATATATATATATATATATATATATATATATATATATATTTCTTTTATAGAAATTATCAGCACATTTAATATTTGCGTTTTGAAATGTCACGTAACTATATTGCTGGTAAATTTTGTTACTCTCTCTTCTTATTCTGAGTAACTTGTCAAATCATGGGAATAATTATCCACCCATAACATAGACCATCAACTAACTTTCATTGCTTGATTACTTTCTCTATAAAACAATCTAAAAAACGTGAATGAAGTGATCTAATTTGTTGAATGGTGATCCACAAACGCGATCGGTTTCCTCGGCAGAGACGTCACAAAGTGTCGAAGATGTCACATAGTCGATCGCATGTGGGTCTTAATAATGTGATCGACTTAATCGTCTTGATAGCATGATTGACTTTGACTACTCGGGACGATTGGTTGACTTGGTGCCACGGTCGTCCTACAGATGCGGCAACGTTGTGAAGGACAGGGAAATAGTCAACTTCACGAATGGTCGATCAAGATGGAAAAGGACTCGAGAAAAGACGGTTCTCGCCGACTCGGAGGGAAATCGATCGTGAAGATTTCTTATAATCCCGGTGACGGCTATTAAGAAGAGCAAGCATCGTCAAGTTACCAGTGCCCCTTTTCGCTTTCGAGATAAGAGGACCAATTTTGCCTGTATGTAATGGCCTCCCTCCCATCTTCCTAACGTGACTACCTGTGCGCATCGATCAAAAAGTTTCTTTAAACATGACGACTGTAATGGTCAAGTATTTTCTTTAAACATGCAGCAAGCAGGAGAGGGTACATACATCATGTGTCCTTGATGAACTGAAGGCCACATAACTGATCAACGTTTAAAGGAGAGAACAGGTAGCCTGCCTCAAACATTAGTGGCTCTGAAATGTGTGTTACATTGGTATACAAGATCACAGTGATCATATGAACCATATACTAGACCATGGCAGCGCACCATGTCGCAAGCACATCAGAGGGCATTCCCCCGCATTGCAAACTGTGTATTTATGCCTGATCTAGCAAAGGAAATCATAAAGCACCTCACGATCTATTTCCCACACACAATGATCACAAAGACTGGAAGTCATATACAGCTGCATTGATCAACCAGTAAATAAACAGCTTCCATGCACCGCTGCTTTGAAAAAAAAAAACACAAGTGCATTTTGATCATGATACCCTGCCCCTGGAAGAGATTGAGCCGTGGTCAGCTATCTTGATCCCTTTGATCCACCAAAGGATCTGAACCCTTGATCTTCTTAGAAGAGGCAGAAGGCACATTCCCATTTCGGCCAGCGGCCAGCTCATTTGCCTCTAATTGTGTGGATGATGGACCCATCCCTTCTTCGATTGGTAGTGTTCGTTTCGATCCCTCAAGAGCCACACCAAGGACAATATTATCTTCAAAGGCAGGCCTGGCAACTTGTGATTTCATAGTTTGCACCCTTTCACCTTCATTCTTAGCATCACCCTGTTCTGTAGCAGCCTCCGATGTGGCAGCCCTTTGGCTGCCAGCTTTTGGAGTTGACCCTACTGCATCCGAGTTTTCAAGCTGAACCGTAGAGGGAGGATTGGAAGATGGTGCTACTGCAGGTTCAGCCTTAACACTTTTAGGCGAACCATCTCCAGAATTTGCCTTCTTGTGTTGGTGCTTGTCAAAGTTGCTTGGCACCGTACCATCAGATGATGAAGTTGGGTTGGGATCAACTGTTGTAGCAGACTTGTTGGTTTGGTCCTCACTCACGTGTGGTGTTTGACGTGGTTTGGTTTTCTCATCACCATTGATTCTTGACTGGGAATCGAGCAGAAGAAATGGACGACTAGCTGCAGCGGAATGCCTGAAAATGCTTTCTGCAAAAGGAACATTTTCTATGTCTGGATCACCATATATTTTCTGGACTGTACGAATAGGTGTTGCAAGTCTAGCTCTGTGATGACTGATGACTCTGAGGAGATCTAACATAACAGATTCCTGCATTTTTTTCAACATCCATCATCTTCTTAGCATCAGGTCATATTGAACATTGAACAATAAAAATGGCATTATGAGACAAACAGCACCATGTCCTCCAGAAGCTAAATGAACACTTCAAAAACAAGAACTGAATGATTATTTAGCAATACCAGAAGTTAAAGACAGACAGATCAATCAAATGCAGGATGAAATGAAAGGTGTGAGAAAAAGGATGTTCAATTTAGCTCCTGTTTGGACATACATGCAATAATTGGCTACTTTGCAAGTTGGGACAGCAGGAAACTGACTCAAGCATTAGCCAGCTTATCTTTATGTTTGGCTTAGGCTTGAATTGGGAATATTTAATGTTCAAATATAGGTCATTTAGTTTCTCTTAATTGAAATTTTTGTCTAATTAATTCCCTGAAGTTTCTTTGCACATTTTCCTTGCATGGTCTAATGCACCCCTGCCTCCATTCCCCCTAGTCTCATTGCACTAGCCTCTTACCAACCCTGATGGCCCGCCTCTTGTCCCACACACTCAGTGATGTTAATTTTATGAGGCTTACCAACTGTATTGTTCCATATCAATGACTATTTAACCCCATTCTTATTTTTAGAAAAATGATCAAGCATGAAGGGCAGGTCCACTTGGTTGCTGGTAGCATTCTTATTGCACATGCAACCATCCATCCATCAGCTAGGCTTTTTCCCCTATTGCATTTTACCTAACACAGTCATCCTATGGTGTCATAGTCCAACCAACCCAGCTCAATTTATAATCCCTGTTTTTTTATTTTGAGCTGGTTTTAAATTGAAGAGATGAAACCATCGGTCATATATAATACTCTATCTTACTAAGATAATATCGCTTCTAAACTGTTAGAAATAGTTTAATATTTATCCAAATCTATAATAAAAATTATGGCTCAGTCAATCCCTACTTGCAGCAACTGAATGCACCTGTACACAATTAAATTACAAAAGGTAATTCGAGAATGAAGCATCCGTCAACTGTTTTCATAAATGAAGCATCTGCTAAGCATTTGATCACAATATAACTAATCGAGCATCCATGTAACATGAACTAAATTCTCAATTAACACCACTCTTAGTATAGGTTTCTAGGAAGTTCATTTGGATAAGTTACTCCTTCCACTAGCAAGATAAGGATGCTTCCATCCTATAATTAACATTTTGCTACCTGATCCTGCATGCAAAGCTGGCAATGGATCTAGTCCATCAAGGTTGTGATCGGACAAGGTCATGTATTAAGAACATGCCATCATATCATGTCAGCCTAGCCAAGTCCAGCACTGGCGTGGCACATCACCAAAGCGCAGTGGCTGTAGTGTTAGTCCATCAAGGTCATGGTCCATGGAACCATTTTGCTAAACCCAGTTTGCATCTTGTGCTGCATTTCTTAATTTATAGTTTGCTTTCTTTTAATGTTATACTAACAAAAAAGAAAAAAGGCAACTCCTACATTTGTCTCATTGATGACACA